ATGACAAAGGGAACAGAAAACAATGGACCAGGGCTTGCCTTGCGTGAAGGAGGCTCACGCTGCCTGGTGTTCTCATGGCCTGGCACAGCCCGAGGGCTTTGTGCTCTACCTCCTTTGTCCTCTCAGCCCCTGCAGTTGTGGCACTGTGGGTACAGAGAAGGTCCTTTAGCCCAGAACACAGTGGGTCAAGGACCCAGGCATCTTCAAAAAGTCATTCTTAGCTTGTAGCTAAGATTCCTTCAATTAGGCAAAGCTAGGCTTCCTCACAAACCTTCATCTTCATGGTTAGAAAACATCCTTATTAATTTGTCCATGACATGTGATTAATTTCAAGGGAACACTCATTATTGCAAATTAAGGTTGTATTAAAAATACAAAATTCTGGGGCTGGAGAGGTGGCTCAGTGGCCAAGTGCACTGGTTGTTCATCCAGAGGACAAGGATTGATTCCCAGTACCCACACAGTGGTTCATAACTCTAACTCCGCTTTTGGGGGATACAATGCTCTCTTCTGGCCTTTGCTGGTACCAGGGACACAAGGGGACACAGGTGAGCATTCAGGCAAAACATCCATACACATAAAATAAATAAAAATTAAAAAAAAACAATTCTGAGAACAAGGCAGCAGTAACAATGGTGAAAGCTGCTGGCTCTTCTAACACGGATGCAGCCCAGGCAAGAACAGACTTGGGTTGCCAGTCAGGGCAAGGTAGAGAGAGCTTGGAGATGTAGGCTGTCCACCTCTAATTTGAGAGGACCTCATGAGCCTTTGCTTTGTTTCTCAGCCCCTCCTATCATCCCCACCCTAAGGATCCGAGGGAACGCAAGCTCCTAAGGAAACAAGGGTGGATCCAGGCCCGGGATCCTGGTTTAAAAAGGTTTTGTGGGGCCGGCAGATAGTTCAGTAGGTAAAGGTGTTTGACGCAAAGCCTGATGATCTGAGTTCAATCCCAGTGACACAGACAGAGGCAGAGAACCAACTCCTGCAGGGTGCCCTACGACTTCCCCACATATACCACGGCACACACGCACCCCATGATGGCCCTGACACAAACACATGTTAAAAAAAAACAACGCAAGATTGCCTAGATGAACAGACAGTCTCAAGTACTCTATCCCAGTTTACAGGAGTGACTGATGGTGACACCCAGGGAACTAGTAAGCGAAGGAGGAAGGTTCAGAGAAAGAGACAGACAGAAAGACAGGCCCTCAGCTAAACAGCAACCATGTGAGAGAAACAGAGAAGATATTAATATGTCCTCGTCTATTCCTGAAGACCATCAGGGTCCTATTAGGATAGAAAGGCACTGCCAATGCCTACCAGGATGAACCGTGTGTGTGTGTGTGTGTGTGTGTGTGTGTGTGTGTGTGTGTGTGTGGTGTATAGACATTTTTGGGTGGATGGATGCATTGATGTGTTCAAAGGTCAACATCAGTTCCTCAACCACTCACTACCTCATGCTTTGAGACAAGCTCACTCACTGAACCTGGGGTTCACCAGTTCAGTTAGATCAGCTGGCCAGTGAGCCCCACTGGGGCTAGAGACATGAACCTGTCTCTGTACATGGGTGCTGGGGATCTGAACACAGGTCCTCACACATGTGGGCCAAACACATCACTGACTGAGGGCCCCCACCCTCAGCACCAAATCTTGTTTAAATAAGGTACCCGAGAGCAACACTACTAACTTGGGATGGGAGCGTTGGTGGTGATACTTACTGACCCCTTTGTCGTCTATGCCACATCTGAGCAGGGTACTCCAGTGGGCACGACCCCGCTTAATCCTTAGACGAAATTTATAAGCTCTATTAGGCTCGCCTTGTTTTTTAGGGTTGAAAACAGTTAGGAATATTGAGAAAACTTCTTGAGACCCAGACACAGCCCTGGGTCTGAGTCAGTAGGTTCTGCCTACTGTTTCTATGGTTTCATCAGCGTCCAGTCTTTTAAAAACATCTCCTTCAGTCCTCAGGAAGAATGCAATTGGCTCTCATTTAAAATGTATTTAACAAAAAAAAAAAAAAAAGAATTTTCCGAGCTAACCTGGAAATCTGCATTTTCAACCTACTCTCCTAATGCAAGACGGCAATTATCCACTGTGTCTAGGAAGTAATGACCCAAAGGCACTCCTTACCAGGGAAGGGGAGCCTGCATTTTAACCGGGGCTTCCAACACACACTGTCTTTTTTATTTGTTTTAAAAAGTAGAACTGCTTTGGGGAGAAAAAAAAATACTTCTAGCTAAAAATACACTAGCAGCAACCTTGCAATTACACTCCTCTGTGGGAGACTTCTGTCTTCCATTCTGTTTCCCAAATGAAGAGGTCTGCTCTGTGGTCTGCTCATCAGTCATGCCAAAGGCCAATGCTGCACAACTAACTGGAAAAATCCAAAGCTGTGTAGGCTTGGATAAGACTCTGTATGTGTGTGTGCGCGCACACGCACGTACACACGTATGTGCAGTACAATAAACAGCTTTATTTTAAACCAACTTCCTGTTACTCACCTCACCTGTCCTCCACAGAGGGACTTTGTTAAGGTTAGCCCCAGGACTGTGGAGCAAACCTTGCGCCCCACCAGCCTGTACCCTTAGGCTGGGCTTCTTTTTCCGGTCCAGACCTTGCCGCCTCTCTTTTCCCTTTCCCTTCGGTGTTTCTGTCATGCAAGACTGACAAGCTTGCAGGTGGGCTGCTGGGCTGCTGTGGTGACCAAGTCCTCAGAAGGGCCACACTTGCCTCCTGTGCGCTGTGTGTTGGTGACTCTAGCTTTCACAATGGTAGAGTCCACCAGTGAGGAGTCTACCTCCAACGGTTTTACTATGGCGAAGATAGGCTGCCAGCTGGGAAAGCTCATACATAATTTTGGCAAGGGGACTTGCATCCAATTTATTAGTCTTCAAAGAGAAACATACACCTATGGGTGATGAGGGACCGTCCTGGGAGTGACTATATGAATTTGCAGGAAATGGCAAGACCCCAACAGGAATTTTCAAACTACAATTCACTATGAGATGGGAAAGGCTTTTTTCTTAAGCATGATTGTGGATCTAGCTCAGAGACAGGAGACAGTATTGAGACACACTGGTGAAAATGAGGAAGTGTAGAAATGGATAAAAACTTTTCACAAATGATAAGGAAGTAGATCCTTTGGGTTTGTAGATAGGAATTTCTTATTTGTCATAATACACCTTAGGAAGACCCCCCCCCCCCCAAGCACACAGGAGAGAACAAGAAAACTAACAGGAGTGCTAAAGTGACAGACTATTCCATCCTGTAACAGACCCGAGGCTCAAAATGACAACCCAAGAAATGGCCCTCAAGGCTGCTCATCAGCCTACAGGCTGCTCCCTGAATGACACCGAAGCCACCATGCTATCTGGCTCCAAATGTCCTCAAGTTGGGCATTGTCACAAAGGGTACCAAATCATACCAAGTCAGTCACATGACCTTATAGAGACCCCCATGATCCCTGCATGGAGGACAGGGTAGAGTTCTGATGTCATAATAGCAGAGGGCGGCGTTATATCAAGGACTTGCCTAGAGAAAGTCACTCAAAAACATCCAGGTATAACAGTAGCAGTAACTGTAACAATAACAGTAACAGCAGCAGTGACAACAGTAACAACAACAGTAACAACAGTAACAGCAGCAGTGACGACAACAGTAACAACAACAGTAACAGCAGCAGTAACAACAACAATAACAACAGCAGTAACAACAGTAACAGCAGCAGTAACAACAATAAAGTGAAAGCATGGTACAATTTAAGTAGCTTGTCTAAGTCACACTGGTGGCATCTGGTACCTGGCCACACTATGCCATAGCCCTGGCTTCTAAGTACAGCCTCAACTACATAAGAAGTTTAGAAGAAAATTCCAAGCTTCTCCGTAGGGGACCAAAAACCAACAGAAATTTAAGTTAATAAGAACCAAGACAAATGCAGACAGGGAAAACATAGCTCTTGTATCAAACTACAGATTATTAAAGTTAGGATAAAGTGAATTGAAGATTAATAAGGTATCTTGGTGCAGTGGGAGTTACCTTGTAAAGTTTAATTTTTCTCAGGAAGAACTGAGACTACAAATTCTGAGACTGAAGGAGAGCGTTGGAAATCAATAATATGTTACTGAAGGAGACAATGTCCCTAGGGTACCCATTTCCTTCCAGGTACAAGGGCGCCAACTGTCCACTTTCACCGATGTGGAGGCTGGCTACAGGCAATGTGGCCAGTCTTTACCCTGTCTCTGTTGTCACCCTCTCTCTTAGGAGCTACGCCTAAGATGAAGATAAACTATAGCCACACTGACCAGCTCTCAGCTGAAAGGGACAAGAAGCCTGGCCACAAACGCCAGGGTCTGGGACCCAAGTCAGTTGCAGAAGCTGGTGTTGGGTCAGTAGCAGGATTAATCACAGCCAGGGACCTCTGAGATAATATCTTCCCTCTGCCCACCCCATCCCCATCTGAGCTCTAGCAGCATGTGGAAGTTGGCTGTTTCTACCTCCTTCAGATCCAAGGCCTCCCTCATCCCCAGAAGAAGCTCCGAGCAGTGGGGGAGGGAGAGGCCCAAAGCATATGCTTCACGTGTGCAGCCAGCTCTCAGGCAATGGAGGGACCCGGGGCTGCAACGGAGGAACCCAGGGCAGCAACGGAGGAACCCAGGGCTGCAACGAAGGGACCCAGGACTGACATAACTTTATTTTAAGCATCTGCTTATCTGGACTCCAGGAAGAACAAAGGCCCATGTGCTGGGAAAGAAGGTCCAGATCTTGGTAAGATTAAAAGAAAAGAAAGAAAGAAAGAAAGAAAGAAAATCAACCTAAAAACCAAAACCAACCTACCGTGAAAGAGAGTGGTGAGTGCAGGCATGGTGAATGTGTTCAGTGGAGACAGACACATGCATTGGCACAGCAGCCACTGCCAAGCCTTTGGTAGATGCATGAAAGGCGGGTCCTCTCCATTTAGTACCCTAGCACTGCTGCTGGTGCAGCATCCGGGCCCTACTCACCTACGCAGTTATCACACAGGCTGCAGTGGGAGGCTCGAGGGGGGCGGAAAATCTTGCAGGTAAAACAGTACTTTAGTTTCACAGTCTGGCCATTGATGATGACTTCTTTGGTTCTGGGAGGTGGGCGGTACCCCCCTGAACTGGTGCCGTTGGCAATATCTACGGAAAGAAGGAGAAACAGCACACACCTTCAGAACACCATTTCAGCCCTGTGGTCCCTGTCACCCGATTCAGGGACCAGGTCTAGTTGTGCTCAACATTCCTAGGGCAGCAGCCACACTTGACTGCCCTGTGTTGTCATAGGCAACGTGGCTTAAGGAGACTCTGAACCTATTCATGCAGGCCAGAGACCAGATGAGGGGGCTCTGGTTAGAGGCCTGAGAAGGTTTGTGATCCACTACAGAAGTATGCTCTCCATGGGGTCACGCCCACCCTTCTTCTTCAAGGCATGTGTAGGAGACAGTGTGGGAGAGGTACCCAAATGACTGCAGAGCAGAACCTCCTGATCTGGCTATCAGTTCACTAAACATGGGCCAAGACCCTAGAATGGTGTGGTTTTGTTACAGCAGCCAGCCTTGTCAATGGACTCAGTGATCTTCCTTTTGCCTCTTGAGCTGAGTTCTTCAAGCCCAGCTGAGGCATCTCCCTGCTTTGCCCATTAGCCTAAAAAGTACCAGTTTGGGATGATAGGGGAGGAATATCCATTTTACAAACATCTATTTCCATGAAAAATTATTAAATGCATATTTTTAAAAAAAATCACTTGTATATTTTTGACATTATTATTTTTAGAGTCAGTTTTTAAATGTTAAAATAAAATACAAATTTATCTCTTCCCCCCAAAATTTACATTTATTTATTTGTATGTGAGGGAGGGTGAGCATATCATGTGTGTGTGTATATATGTGTATGTTTGTGTGTGTATATGTATATGTTTGTATGTGAGCATGTATGTGCATGTGTGTGTGTATGTATGGTATGTGTGTAAGTGTGTGTGAGTATATATGTGCATGTGTGAGTGTGTGTGTGTGTGTGTGTATAAGTCAAGGAAGTCAGTTCTTTCCTTTCCAGGGTTCGAACTCAGGCTGTCATGATGGGGGAAGGACATTGGTTAATTATAATAAAGAAACTGCCTCGGCCCTCATAGGACAGAAAATTAGGTAGGCGGAGTAGACAGAAGAGAATTCTGGGAGAAAGAAGCTTAGTGGAAGAGTCGCCATGATGCTCCCACGCCAGACAGATGCAGGTTAAGATCCTCCCTGGTAAGCCAGCTCGTGGGCTACACAGAATATTAGAAATGGGTTAGAACAATATGTAAGAGCTAGCCAATAAGAAGCTGGAACTAGCCGGGCCAGGCAGTGTTTGAAAGAATACAGTTTCCGTGTAATTATTTCTGGGCATAACCTAGCCATGCGGGCGGCCGGGTGCCGGGGACGCAGCCCTGCCGCTGCTCCTATTTCAACACTGTCAGGCTTGGTAGCAAGCACTTTTGTCCACAGAACTGGTCCGTAAGTCTATTTTTTTTTTAAAGTTTCCTTTGATCTCACAGCCGGGTTCTTCTCTCTGGTCATGTAGGAGGAGGCCGCTTGTTTCTCATGGCCGCCCAGAACCAAAATAAACACACAGAAACTGTATTATTTAAATCATTGCTTGGCCCATTAGCTCTAGATTCTTATTGGCTAACTCTTACATATTAATTTAACCCACCTCCATTAATCCATATATCACCATGAGGTCGTGGCCTATCAGCAAAGTTTCAGCAGTCTATCTCTGGTGGCTCCATGGCATCTCTCTCTGACTCCACCTTCCTCTTCCCATGCTAAGGGCCAAGTCAGTTCTTTATTCATTAACCAATAAAAGCAACACATAGACAGAAGGACCTCCCATACCATGGTCGCACATGAGAATCACCAGGCAGCTGGTTACACCCCACCCCCGCACACATCACATACTGACTCTTGAGACCCCAGCTCTGGAGGGAGGTCTGTTCCAACTTTATTCACAGGTTGATTCCCCACAGACCTGCTAGGCCCGCCAAGAAGAATCTGGGGAGCCAAAGAGAACAGCAAGAACCCTTTGAGGGCGTTTGCTAAGACTCTGGCGTGGTCCCAGGAATTTCTGGAGCTGGTGAATTGAGGGTAGATACTCATTTTCGTTCACACCCACTGTCATACACAGCATACTTAGCCGAACCCAACGTGGTAAGCATCAGTGACATCATCAACACAGGCCCTCCACACAGTCTAGACAGTTGTCTGAAAATTTCGGAAACTACTGGTATCCTGGAGTTGACCTTAGAATTCTGATTTCACTGGGGTGAGCAGAATCAGGCATGGAGATTTAAAAGACTCCTTCCAGATAACCCTAATCAGTAGACAAGGCTGACAGCCAATAGCATTGGTGTACACAGCATCTATTTTATGCAACAGTTCATCAGAGAAGAGGGCTCTCAGCTCATCCAAAACGTAGCATAAAAAGCTGCATTTTGCCCAATTCTCCAGTGACCCCTGTACTTCAAGCCTTAGAACCTGGGTCCATGGTGAATACAGGTTCACTCAGAGACATGCCACTAAACAGACCCAGCCACCTTAGCCACTCATGCAAGCTTAGCTACACTGGTGGTACCTGGGGAGCTGAACTCTTCTCCTCACAGAGAATGCGTTAGAGGCGGTGTGATAGCCTTCGGGTTTTGTGTTAGTGAGATGCCCACCCCAGTGGTAAGGAGTGCTTTAGAGCTGTTGCTTCCATTGGCTACACGTGGAAAATGAAAGTTCCACCAGCGGGGCGCAAACAAACAAAGGGGAAGGAGAGTTCAAGGAAGGGCATGATGGGAACAACAGGACAGTTCACCCCTTTACCGCTTCTCAGAACTGGGCCTCTTGCTTAGAACCATTAGATAGCCGTGAAGCCAACTTTGGGGCCATAGGTAGGTTGCCTTGCCAACCTGGATACTCTCTTGGTACCCTCCCCCAACATGCTACCCTGGTGACCTCCCTATCAAGCGATGCTAAAGCCAGCAGCATCCCGTGTGCATCGCGGGAAGAGGAGTCAGGATGGAGGATGGAGAAGGCAGGGACCATGCCACTGTGGCTGCCCTGAGCACCAGGAGGAAAGCACATGGATGCGGAAGGAAGATCTCTGCGAATGCCAACTGTGTGGCTTGGAGGCCTAAAATAAGCTGGCAGTTTATGTCAGCTGTGACATGGACTGGATGTATTTAGCTCTAGCAAACATGAGTTTAAAAAAGCTAGAAGATCAGTTACAAAGGAACTCAATCAAATATCTGTGTTAATTCCACCCGCAAAGTTTTGAAGCTGCATCCCCAAGGTGAATACTGTAAAAGGCAGAGATGGCAAAGCACCCAGCACCAGCCAGCACATTGTAGCAAGCTTAGCCCTGCACAGCACCATGTAGCAAGATTTGCCCTGCACAGCACCATGTAGCAGGCTTAGCCCTGCACAGCAGCTTGACAAAGTGAATCTTTGTGAGCACTCCTCACAATAGATCCAATTGATCTTATATCTCCACAGCACTCCTTTCAGAAAGATGAAACTTGTTACAAAGTGAGCCGAAAACTAGGATTCAACAGATGGTAAACTATAGCTTAAGCAGTTATCCAAACCCTAAAACCCATTGAATAGGTAATTAGAAACTGATACACTAAGTAGTAATAATAATAATGAAATAAAAAAATTAAAATATCAGAAGACCAAATTCAGAACCCAACTATGCCATGGACTAATGGGAGAATCCGAGGACCTATAAAGAAGAAAGCAAACAATAATAACAAAAATTATCAATGAGACAGTATTTACAAAAGGCTGACCTTGCGTCACAGGTGCTGGGTGGGACTCGGGCGGCTTAGAAGGTCTCCCGTGGCTGCCTGCCGAGTCATGAGCCTCCTGTCTCATCTTCCTGGGCCTTAGGAATCGGATTCATCATCCCCAATGACCCTGGAGTAGCTTTCTAAATGTCCACAGGATCCTCAGAGCCCCCAGGCTGCTCTGCCCACTGCTGTCTTACATGGAGTTCACGCTGCAAACCTTGCAGCCCCTCTGTGTGCTCCGGAGGAGCCAGCTGCTGCAGGGCTGGGCCATACGCACAGTGGTCCCTGCGCTGGGGTGGAGATCATCTCAACTTTCAGGCCCAGTTCAGGCTTCTCTTGTGAAAACGGCTGGCACCCATGGGATCTCACTGTGTTTATCTATTTACTGAACTCTGCTGGACTTCTATGTGGCGCCCTTGAGACATGGGGCTTCAAGCACTAACCTAAAGACACAGTTTTCCTTCAGTATTTGGACTGAAGCTGGTGGCTGGTCACAAAGCTTGTCCCCCTTTGAGCCTTTCAGCAACATCTGCAGCCCCAGGTACACAGCATACAGGCTGAAAGGGGGAGTTCAGTGTTCTGGTTTAATCCCCAATTATTCTCTGTGGGACTTTTTGTGTGTGCGTGTGCAACAATCGCGCTTCTGTTGCTGAGAGATGTTCTTTGTACCTTAAACACAGCTCCTGGGAAAGAACAATCAAGTCTACAATAGCTAATCATTGGAGAGCGCTAGAATTTGGGGGTAAAAATGGTTAGCGGCTTTGTAAGCTTAAGGAACTACTCCTTCCCAAGGGCATTTTACACAAGCGTTCTGAAGGAAAGCACAAAAGCCCGAAATGACTTACAAGCACAAAGGCCCCTTCTCCTAATGGCTGAGTTGTTGGCAGAGGTGTGGAAATGATAATGTGTATTTGTGCGTCCGTGTCTGGCACCAGCCTTGCAGTCAGAACAGTGGGCAAAGACTTAGGGGTCCTGGGGGTAGGAAGGAGAGGGTGGCCACGCGTACTCAGGAATGGGAAACTAACATTGAATGAGGTCTCAGTTAAAGAGAAATCCTGGGCTAGCCAGGTGTTTCTGAAAACTGTTCCTTAACATCTGCCTGCTTGTTCAAGGCCTGTCTTCGAAAGGGAAGCCGTTGTTTTCTCCTGAGGGAGCAGGGTGCTTACATGAAGGACCCATTTGATCCCATAGTGCTGATTTCTAGCCCAAACTGCTATAGGTAACTGGACTCTGCTGTCTTACACTACAGGGGAAAAATGTCAACTTTGAAGATGTGGAGAAGGATTCTCTCCCCAGCTGAAGGGTTCATCTGGAGGAGTGGCATTCCCTGGTG